TTTGTAAGTAAGACTGCAATGGAAGTCAATAGAGTAAAGAGTTTGGACCTTTCAAGTCATATTAAAACTAGCGACCCGTTCCAGTGGGAGGATGAGGGGATGAACCCAAAGACGACCCAAAAATTTTCATTAGGAGCATAGCAGAGTCCTGTGGAACAATTACTTGGAAGGGTTTTTCCACAGACGAGATTAAGCCACATTCTCACCTTGCCCTTCCATTTCTATAGCGATTGCATCCGGGAATCGTTTTACGAGCTCATCGCGTCTTTCTTCACTTTCCACCTTCTCGGGTCCGCTCAAATACACGCCATCTTTCCATACTTTCACCTCCCCGCAATCTCTTAGTGGCGCCTTCCAGCCATCATCAGCGTTTTTAATGAGGCTCAAAAGATTCCTCTCCAACGGAACAGCAAGGCCACGCTCTTGAATTCCACTGTCCGTTACTTTCACAGAAGAGTATGTTCTTAGCTTCGCTAAAATTGCCACATGTCCTAAACGGACTCTTTCGCCTAAGCCACCACAGAATCCCACACAAAATACCGCTTTGGGTCTTAACACTTCAACACCATTTGTCACAGTTGTTAAGGGACCTCCTGGAGCCAAAGGACCTGGATAACATTTCATCACAGCGATTTTCAAAGTTGGGCCCGTACCCATTAGCCCGAAGTACACAGTTCCAAGGTTGTCATGACTACTCCGAAAGTATCCCGGATTTAGATGAGATACGCAACTTAAGAATTCACAATCCTTCACTGTCAGTAGCAAAATATCAACTGGAAGTTCTTTTAGTACTTGCTCCCAAACCCTCGCGTCTTTTGGTCCTGGCAGATCGCTTTTTTCCAACAGACGCCCGGCAGGCAGCTTTGTAGCATCGATCTCGGGTGGGTTACAGTTTCTCGTATCACTAAACTGTCGTGTCCTTTTCATAATCTTTCATCCGCTGCACTGGGCTGTTGTTTGCCTTTGGAATATAAAGACAGAAACAGATTTATTTAATTAATTTTTATTGCTGTAGCCACAAAATCAATAATTGTAGGGTCCCAAGCGTGAGACGGGGAAGGGGGTAACACCCATCTTACTTTTCCCTTTCTCTTTCCCTTTCAGATCTCATTGTCTTCTTGCCTCAATTTTGCCTCAAACATTCAAATCTCACTTCCACATTCATGCTTTCCCAGTCTAAAAATTGCCCCCCCCCCGGGGGGGTGGGGGTGCCTCCTTATAAGAGCCTAATGGGGATGTGCCGCTGGATGGGGTCGCATTTTCACGACTGGATTGACTGTAATGGGGTCACATTTTCAATAGAGTTACTAGAATGGGGTCGCACATTTTCTGATTTTTGGGGTAATACAGTTCTTTATTTTTAAACAACAAACGTACCAGAATGTTTGTGCTGTAGGGGAAAATTTAAGTGTTCTTCATTCTATTTAAAAAATGGTTCAATTCCAGTTTTAGGATGACCTGTTTAAAGGATTGAAAAGATAGATACATAAATAGAAAGTGAATAAGTTGGGATCACGAAAATTATATGTTTGCCCAAAAGTGACTACGATGGGGTCTATAATAGGCCACAGAATAGACTATAGTGGGGTCGGGGCTCTGAGAGGCCAGCGGCACATACCCAGCAAAAATTTACCCAAGTACCCTCCTCCCCGGGAAAAATAAGTTGATTCCAACTTCCACTCCGTCTTACCCCATCAAGGCTTATATGGAGGTGGGTCTATAGCGTTCTTGATTAATATTAAATGTGGTCACAGTTCCGTCTCAGTGATTTGAATTCGACAAATACCTCAATATATCGGAGGCAACATTGAAGACAAATTAACTGTGTAGTGTACGTTGGAGATTGTTGTAGTAAAGTTGCTTCTTGTATAAGATTATGCTTACACAAGCACATAGCGAACGTTTTCCGCTGAATTTACGTCATGTATAAAATCAGGAATGCTTTATAAACACCGCGTTGTATATAAAAACTTCAAGGATAACTTCATCATAATCTGCATAGTAAATAAGCTTGAATTGTAGAAATAAGTAGTCTACGAAAACATCGCCAAGAATGTTATCGCAGCCTTCCTTTTGATAGTAAACGTGCGAAGTGCGATGTAAGCTTTTTTTTTCCATAAAGATTTTTGAACAGGGGTTGAAGCGAGTCATATTACGGTGGCTTGTTTGCCCTACTCACTAGGTCTAAAATTTAAGTTATTCAGGTCTTCGTTAGTGCATAGCGTCAGTTACTTGCGTAATAACTGACCCAAAAGGCAACGGTTTATTTACGCGATTAAATAAACACGACATCAAGAACAAAACTGTTTGACCATATTCGCCCGAAGAGATGATTCGAACGCAATAATACTGAGTTTTTAGTTTTAAACTGATTCAAAACAGGAACGTGATTAAACAACACTCACCTTGCTGAGCCGGTTAACTCTTATCGGAGGCAGATAAACTTAACAATTCGTGCTATATTTATGTACCTATGATATATAGACTGCGACTTCAAATACCTCACCTGTGTCGATGCATCCATACACATGCATATAGCACCTTTATTGATCGTCTGCAGAATGTGGAGTCGGTGCGGTGGGTGATATCTCTTGTTTGCTAACGGTGACTTATTAGATCATGGAAGGTACGTTTGACAATCACGCTATGTAAAATTACTGACGTCATCGACTTCCGCCGGCTTCACTCGGAAGTAAAAAATTTAATACCAGTCTATCGTAGAAAGCACCTTAGAGGTGGAGATTGACAGAAAACTCGATTATTTGAACACAAAAAATATTAGCGCAAAAACAAATATTTTTTACTAGAAATACGTAAATCGCAGAGCCTCGCGAGGAAGGGGCTTACGGCCAGAAGAATGAAGAAAGGGAAAGAAGCCCATAGGGAGAATAAAATTTATGAAAAAATAAAAAAGTTATAATAAACAAAATAAAACAAAACAACAATAACAACAACAAAAGTAAGAAAAAGAAAACAAATTGTTCTAAGAATCGAACTCACTAACTCGGGGGGGGGGGGGGGNCCGGGAAAAATAAGTTGATTCCAACTTCCACTCCGTCTTACCCCATCAAGGCTTATAAGGAGGTGGGTCTATAGCGTTCTTGATTAATATTAAATGTGGTCACAGTTCCGTCTCAGTGATTTGAATTCGACAAATACCTCAATATATCGGAGGCAACATTGAAGACAAATTAACTGTGTAGTGTACGTTGGAGATTGTTGTAGTAAAGTTGCTTCTTGTATAAGATTATGCTTACACAAGCACATAGCGAACGTTTTCCGCTGAATTTACGTCATGTATAAAATCAGGAATGCTTTATAAACACCGCGTTGTATATAAAAACTTCAAGGATAACTTCATCATAATCTGCATAGTAAATAAGCTTGAATTGTAGAAATAAGTAGTCTACGAAAACATCGCCAAGAATGTTATCGCAGCCTTCCTTTTGATAGTAAACGTGCGAAGTGCGATGTAAGCTTTTTTTTTCCATAAAGATTTTTGAACAGGGGTTGAAGCGAGTCATATTACGGTGGCTTGTTTGCCCTACTCACTAGGTCTAAAATTTAAGTTATTCAGGTCTTCGTTAGTGCATAGCGTCAGTTACTTGCGTAATAACTGACCCAAAAGGCAACGGTTTATTTACGCGATTAAATAAACACGACATCAAGAACAAAACTGTTTGACCATATTCGCCCGAAGAGATGATTCGAACGCAATAATACTGAGTTTTTAGTTTTAAACTGATTCAAAACAGGAACGTGATTAAACAACACTCACCTTGCTGAGCCGGTTAACTCTTATCGGAGGCAGATAAACTTAACAATTCGTGCTATATTTATGTACCTATGATATATAGACTGCGACTTCAAATACCTCACCTGTGTCGATGCATCCATACACATGCATATAGCACCTTTATTGATCGTCTGCAGAATGTGGAGTCGGTGCGGTGGGTGATATCTCTTGTTTGCTAACGGTGACTTATTAGATCATGGAAGGTACGTTTGACAATCACGCTATGTAAAATTACTGACGTCATCGACTTCCGCCGGCTTCACTCGGAAGTAAAAAATTTAATACCAGTCTATCGTAGAAAGCACCTTAGAGGTGGAGATTGACAGAAAACTCGATTATTTGAACACAAAAAATATTAGCGCAAAAACAAATATTTTTTACTAGAAATACGTAAATCGCAGAGCCTCGCGAGGAAGGGGCTTACGGCCAGAAGAATGAAGAAAGGGAAAGAAGCCCATAGGGAGAATAAAATTTATGAAAAAATAAAAAAGTTATAATAAACAAAATAAAACAAAACAACAATAACAACAACAAAAGTAAGAAAAAGAAAATAAATTGTTCTAAGAATCGAACTCACTAACTCGGGGGAGGGGTGGGGATTGGCATGCAAATTTATTTTTAAATAGATAACTTCGTGACACTGTACACCCCCCCACCCCACCCACACGTATATATAGTCCCTGACAAGCTCATCCCTCGTGGCTTTCTTCCCGTTTCTTA